ATATATATATGTGTGTGTGTGTGTGTGTGTGTGTGTGTGTGTGTATTTATGTGTATGTATGTGTGTATATATATAAAAAAAAATATTTTTTTTGAACTTGCGTTTTCTTAAAGGTCAAAATATTCTTAGTTTTTGTTTTTACAATCTTACACCGTTTTTTTACTTTAAGCACTACCAAAAATATCAGACATTTAGGAAATCTAAGTTTCTGAATTAAGACATTGTTTGTTATATAAAAATGTTTATCTAGTCATTTTATATATCTAGTCATTTATTTTAATTATTTTTATTATACATTTATTTTTAAGAATTTAATAACTAAATAGATCTGGACAAAGTGATGTCATTTTCCCATTTTTTTACTGAAGCACTCTTCTTTCAAGTGCTTTTCTCAAGGTCACAATAATGACTGGCCTCAGGGATCAAACCAGCAAATTTTTCATTACCAGTACTGCAGCCACAACATTACATGGGATTTACAATTGTAAAATTAAGGATTTAACCCCTTATCATATTGTGCTCTCAGGTAGAGTGGCTACAGCAAACAGAGGACACCCAGATATTAATCAGCCTCCTGCTGCACCGGTCAGTGTGGAGGGCACAAAAGCATCACTCCAGGAAAAGAAGAAACCAAATCAGACAACATTTACATCTGCTAAAAAGACGCGTCCTGCTGGAAATAAGAGCAAGATTCGGAATTACAACATCAAAGACTGAAAAAAATCATTTTGGGCCACTCCATTTAAAGAACGGTCTCATTTGAAGTGCCTCATTATTATTTGTTCATTTTGCATCATGCCATTAAAAAAAAAAAATATTTGTACCTTTTGTGAATGTTTTAATAAATTATTGCATAATTTGACCAATAGGCAAGTGAGTCTTTTAATAGTAAGAAGCACCTATGATGATAAGGGGAAAAAATCCAGATCCAGCCATATGTGGTCTTGTGTACAGATAATGTAGTTTCAATTTATCAATAAACCTGTAAATAGGCACATGAACATTTGCTTCAATTTTATATACAATACAAAACATGCATTAAATGTAGTCAGATATGACTATCGTCTTTTTAGCAATATTTTAATAATAGGATTGATACACTTTACATTATGTAGTGTCTTTGTAAAATTGAATTGCAGTTACCCTGTGCTGTCCAGCCCCTCATGACATCACAGCCTCAGCAGGTGTAGGATTCCACTCCTCCCACTGCATTGTCCTGACAGCACCCTATCTCCTAGCAACACCCTTGCATTCATTCTGATTGGATGGGTCTACACAGCTCCGCTCACTGATTGGTGGATTTTTGGTGTGTCCGGAGCTCCACAACGCCGCCAACAGACACCCGGTATAACACAATCTGTGTGCTGCCTCCATGTGCTGATACTTCTGCATCTAACCAACAGTTGGACGAAAATCAATATAAACAATGTAAACTCAGTATTTTTCACACCAAATTTATAGTGTGCATATTGGACTGCTCTATTTAGACTGAATAATTTTACATAAAAAAGCCAAATTGATATTACATTAATATGACTTGTCCGTTTTATGCAACAAAAAGCACATTGATTCTCTCAGGTTATTCAAAATTGTATTAAAAATGCTATTTATATGAAAAATGACTTGAATGCCTTTCTACAATGTACATGTATAGGAAAATCTGTTTAAACGTTGTAAAATGGTTGAAATTCTTTTTTTTTTCCCTTTTTTTTTAAAGAAATGTTTGGTATGATGCTTAAAGAAATAAAAAATCAGTGAAGCAATTTTGTTTTTAAATATTTTGGAGAACGTTTTGTCCAGCAAATTATTGTCAGCGTAGTGTTACCAACATGCAAGAAGCCATATGGAGTGACTTTAAAAAATCATAAAACACAGAAACATTAAGAAATCTATTTCATTAAGGATTCTTTAGGAAACACTAGAAACCCTAGATTCATGAAAATGTTTGAAAACCCTTTGTAGGAAATTGTATAGTTAAACAAGCTATAATTAAAGCAATAATTATATCCAATAATTATTCATTTCTAATGACAGGTTATCCATACTGTAAAAAAGTAATGAACAATTATGACAGATAAAATATCGGTGCTGTGTTTCAATACCAATCCAGTTTTGCATGCTACATTTACCCAATTTCGGATTGTTTGCAAACCGCAGACACTCGACCCTCGTGTCGCCTTGAACTTGAACTTGCTGGCTCGTAAAAGCAGAAATTTGTGCTGCTGTGCATGTGATCATGCCGGGATGAACTTTAGTAACCCAGTCTTTTTAGACGCTTTTTTTTCTCTGCGTCGGTAGGAAATCAGCCCATCACTGGCTGCGTCTACAGCCCAGCCTCCTCTCTCATTGGACTGCACCTCACAGCCAAACTGTCAGCCCATGTGGCGTGGCCATCGAGGATGTCAGACATTTAAATGAAACAGACACAGAGTCTCAGAAGGCGAGAGTAATTTCTAGGGCTTGGCCAGAGGGGGGATCACGAAACTCTCCATTCTGTACCGGGAGCCGACAAAGATTAAGAGGAATATAGAAGTCGACTCTATCCCAAAGGATCACATCGTTAAACTACCCACATCCAGGTAAGAGAGCATATATTATTAATCGTGTCAGTTCTGGATCTGTAGTTTTTCCAGATGCAGACTGGCGTAGTAAAGGTAGAGTTTCAGGCATGCAACATCGAGACAGTTTTCTATAACACGCAGGGAAAAAAATAATATTACTAACGAAACGAATCGTTATTGTGAGTCGGCTCTTTTCAGTGAATCAGCCGCAGCTGAATCACCGACTCTTTGAACCGAGAGTCAAAAGCATTTAGAGTGAATCGAGGATTTTACTGATGAGGCAAAATATATTTTAAGAGCCGGGCAGCAGAAAAAATACACTGCATATAGCATTTTATTCAAACAAGCAAAACGTTTTTTAACCTAAGATATGTAAATGAATTTAGTTTGTAATGTTAGTGCATGGGATAAAGATGTTGGGACCGCGTGATGACGTAATTACGTCATGACGTAAGAGAATCACAGAATCGCTGTTTTGGACCTGTTCGAAAGAATCGATTCGCGTAAATGAGACAAACTTTCCATCACTAATTTCAACCGAAGAATACTGCACACTTGTGAGTAAACGTAACCAGCACACTCTTGACCAAATGTGAGTAAACGTTTAGTTGGTGGCTGCAAATTCAGCACAGGATGACAGCATCTCGCGCTATTTCTGTGTGATTATACTAGGTTTCATCTTTGCCTAAGAGAAATAGCATTATACCTTGAATCTTTCTTTCCATAAACAACAAAAAAAAAAAGAGAGAATAGATATTAAGCCTAACAAGAATGTAATATGTTGAGACGTGGAAAAGTATCAGGGCGAATTGTAGAGTCAATGCGGAATTTGTCACTCAACTCCTTGAGTTTTGGCATGTAACCAACCAGTCTATATCACTGAGAGCAGTCAAACTGGAGATGCTTAAAGGGCAGATTTGTCAGGCTATCCATAGTCTAGTTTCTATAACAGGACTCTGTTTACATCAACCTTGACTTGTCAGGATTAAACATGCAGCCTAATCATCAATTTTTTCCTTCCTTTTTAATTAACCCTTATGTTCATTTGACTGTATTGTTCATATGGGGTCAGGTTAAAAACTCATTACTTGTCGTCTTTCTTATTTAGTAAAACCCAGTAGGCAGAAATGATCTTCATCTGTCCATCAAAGATTTTTTGCGAATTCATTGTATTTATTTATGGTCTAAGGCAGGGGTAGGCAAGTTCGGTCCTAGAGAGGTCCTGCAGAGTTCAACTCCAACCCTAATCAAACACACCTGAACAAGCTAATCAATGTCTTCAGGATTACTAAGGCTATAGGCAGGTGAGTTTTGTTTTCAGGGTTGGAGCTGAACTCTGCAGGACTGCGGCTCTCTAGGACCGAACTTGCCTACCCCTGGTCTAAGGTTAGAGTGTGGCTGATGTTTTAAGGACTTTACGACTGTAATACTGTCATCAGCTAATGACAGCACTGCACCATGGGAGCTTGTAGCGAGGCGAGCGGTCAGCTACATCACTGCCTCGGATCTGGGTCAAGTAGATTACAGTCGATTCGGAAATCCGTTTATTTTCTCAGTCTGCTTCTGCCAAGCATAATGTTGTTGTATTTGTGGTTAAATGTTAAGCAATCAGAATAGTAATTTACTCCTAGTACTACTGAAATCCTAACCAGGATAGTGTAGCCTGGTTTACACATAGCTGTTTTGTGGTGCTAGTAGTTCTGTCTACTTTATGTTGTGTTCAGTTCATTGACTGCTTTTTGACATGTATGTATTGTACTGTTGCATTAAATAGTACTTTTAGATGACTCACACGCATGCACGTCGTTCACAAACACCTGTGAGCACCTGTGCCAGTATTGTGCCGAATTATGCACCTCCTCGTTGATTGCCTAATCCCAACCCCACCCCTAATCCTAACCCCTCCCCCACACCTACTCCTAAACCTACCAATACTAGGGGGTGCATAATCTGGCAGGGTGCAAATTTTGGCACTACACCAGCAAAGACTCCTTCCGGTTGGCACTATGGCAACAAAGAGCGCTGATTCCTCCTCTCAGATTTACCTGTCCACTTTTGCTAATTCTGTTTATGCAATTGAAAGGTATTGTTTTTCTCTAATTATAACTAAATATAATCTCTAATTATAACTAAATATAACAACAACTGATTTTCATATAAGTTTCATATTGAATTTGCTCTCAATGGCTTGTCACCCTGTCTGGTTATTTTAAAGAGCTTTGACATCACTTACTACTGTTTAATCATAAAATATTTAAATATATAGTAGACCTTACAACATACATGCATACTTATGTGATAGCTCCGTGTGCGAAACAGCCTGAAATTAAATTAAATTAAGCTCTTGCTGTCCCTTGCACATTAAGACAGCAGATTTGTGAGTGAATCATATGTTTTCCCTTATAAAAGAAGAACCAGAATTTCTTTAAAATTTCTTCAGTGTCGAAAACAAATGCTAAAAAGATGTAAACTATTAAAGGGGTGGTTCATTGCGATTTCACTTTTTTAATGTTAGATTAAGTTTATTGATTTATGATGCATCATTTCTGCAAAATCTGACCTACTTTTATAGCTACTGGGCACTAATATCATTTACAACTCGGTCATGCTGTAAAAGGTTGTTATGACTGGCTGAATAGCTGTTATGTAATGCATGTTTATTATTGTTTTACGTGCTTCTCTCTATCAGATTTTTCACATATTTACAAAAAATACATTGCGACTGCTGAACTGAATATCTGCATAATAATGTTTTCAAAAATTTTCATCTGTAAATTATTCTGTACAAATTCATTTGTACTTATTAAAGTTAATTTTTTTTCTGACTTGTTGAGGTTCATTTTTGGTTATTGTGCATTCTTTGTAAAGATGGTAAAATATAACAGATGGCATTGCTACATTGCATGCTGTACAGTCAGATGAGCTGATTTCTCTCTTGGCATATTTATTGAAGTTTCTGTGGTCCACCAAATTAAAAGGAACCCTCCTTTGAGTTTCGAGGAAAGTGGAACAGAGGGACACTTTGTACTTGTCACCGCTTCTTGATTGCATTGAATGAACAGGAATCCCATCCGTGCTGCCGCTTTGAGTGCTCTGACCCAGAAACGGGGAACAAAAGTGTCCAGCTTTCCAGGCCATGCCCCCCCCCCGAGCACACTCTCCCACCTATCCCGTTTTGCACCAACTCGGTGACCCCAACTCACAGACCGCTGATTTAAAACGAATGACACGCTCGCATTCACACAGTTCTTGATAATGCCAATGTAGATCAAGCTGACAGAATCCCTCTTGTTTTTAAAAGGTTTTCTGTTCACTGACTGACCGCTTCTTTCTTTTATTTTTTCCCCCTTAGAATCAAAGAAAATCTAACCAGACATGGAAGATATTGTTATAGCTGGAATTTCAGGTCGCCTTCCTGAGTCTAACAATTTGGAAGAATTTTGGCTGAACCTTTTCAATGGAGTGGATATGGTCACAGAAGATGACAGGCGGTGGAAACCAGGTATGCTAATATTTGAATGTCTTTATTATTTTAAATAACATTTAGACTTAATTAACATGATTTTTTTTTATCATAATGCTTTTCTTAAGACCACCTTGGGGTTTGTAGTGTCTTTCAACTGCTGGTCTCCTTACCTACCTGGCTGCTGTTCTGTGCTTTTCCTTGTCTGTCTGGCTTTGGGTCTTATGAAGGGCCAGTCTCTCTTCTCTCTGTTAGCACCAAGCTAATACTCTCATTCATGTGCTAAAGTACAAGCAGGCTTAGGGCGATGAGTAGAGAGCGCTTTTGATTCCTTTTCCCCCTCTTTTTTTAATTCTAGGTCTGTATGGCCTTCCCCGGAGAAATGGAAAACTGAAAGAAATCGATAGATTTGATGCAGCCTTCTTTGGTGTGCATCCCAAACAGGCACACACCATGGACCCACAGCTGAGGCTTATGCTAGAGATATCGTACGAGGCCATCGTCGATGGAGGTTAGTATCAGCTACCCTCTTAGATAATATTAATATAAGGTGTTTTGTGGCAGCTAATGCCCTTGAAAAATGTATAGCCTGAATGCAATATATATGTCACTTTGGGTAAAAGCATCTGCCAAATGAATAAATGTAAATGTTATTTTCAGGAGTGTGCTGCTATATGGGTATATGAAATATGGTTGATGACCTGTGACATTACATGCCACACTTTATTTTATTGTAAATATTTATTTTATATTTTTTGGGGTCAGTAAGTTTTTTTTTTTTTTTTTTTTTTCTTTTTCAGCAAGGATGCATTGAGGTGACAAAGACATTTCTAATGTTACAAACTATTTATATCATGCTGTACTTTTTAACTTTCTATTCATCAAAGAATCCTGAAAAATGTGGCAAGGTTTCCACAAAAATATTAAGCAGCACAACTGTTTTCAACCATTTTAACATTGATAATAAAAATAAATTTTTCTTGAGGATCAAATGAGCATGAGCATATTAGACCGTTTTCTGAAGGATCATGTGACAAAAAAACTGGAGTAATGGCTGCTGAAAATTAGAAATTAGAAAGTTATTTTAAATTGTAAATATTTCACAAGTCTGTGTTTTTGATCAATAAATGCAGCCTTGGTGAGCATACAAAACTTCTTTCAAAAACATTTAAAAAATGATTATTAGTATATATGGTGCATATAAGTATTTAAATTATAAACATTTCTAAACGGCCAAAGTGATGCCAAATCTCTATGTAGAGCAGTTATAGTGTATTTTTGAACCTAGTTGTAATGTATTGTATGTGTAATGTATTATTTTTCAGTGTTCACTGAATATGTGAATATAAAACATGTTGATTTTTCCTGTTAGGCATTAACCCAGTGTCCATGCGTGGCAGCAAAACTGGCGTTTACATTGGAGTAAGTGGCTCAGAGGCAGGAGAGGCCTTCAGTAAAGACCCAGAGGAGCTGCTGGGATACAGCATGACAGGATGCCAGCGGGCCATGTTTGCCAACCGCTTGTCTTATTTCTTTGATTTCAATGGTATGCAAACATTACAAGTTTAATTACCTACTCAGTGCTCACGCACATTGTAGGACAGAATTGAGTTATCCGAACCTTTGTTTTGAAAAACTATCGTCATTTTTTCTGTATGGTGTGATGTGTCGTCTGATGTGATTTGAATAAGTGACTCGTTACACCGTCACATCTGTTACTGGTGTAACTTGACTCACACTATCACGTTAGACTGAGACAACCAGTTGAGATGGATTACTTAAATCACTTTATGCAAGAATTCGTAATGTGGTCAGCCATTAACTGTTGTGTTTGATGTACAACGAACTTCCAGGTCCCAGTACAGCCATTGACACAGCGTGCTCCTCTAGTCTGCTGGCTCTGGAGAACGCCTTCAATGCTATTCGCCATGGCCAGTGTGATGCAGCACTTGTGGGCGGAGTCAACCTGCTGCTCAAGCCCAACACCTCAGTGCAGTTCATGAAACTGGGCATGCTCAGTCCTGAAGGAGCATGCAAGTCATTTGATGCCTCAGGTGAGATTACGTATGTCACTGTAACGTCTAAAGCGTTCTCAGGAAGCTATTAAAGGAATTTGCTTCTATAAGCATCAATCATTGCATACCAATTATAAGAATATAGTCTTCTAAGTGTTCATACTGAATAATGCATGACAAAAATAGTATTTGAAGTATCATGCTTTATGCAACAATAAATGTTTTCAGCAGAAGTATGCTAATTGCAAGGTTAATTTAGCAATTTTCTGTCCACTTATGATATTAGAGATAAAAATGGTTAGTTAGCGTGTTTTTTAATCCAGTTTCGTTTAAATATGTCTCTACTCTTGTAGTCCAACAAAATAATGAGTCTGGAAAGAGATGTTAAAAATGGCAGCTGATAATTTTTCTGTTCAATTTGTCAAAATGGAAATCAATAGTCAAGTTGAACCAGTGTTATTTTAGTATTATTGCCTTACTATTATGAGACTAATATTTTGAATTAATTTTAATTTTTCTATTTTAGTTTTAGTAATTTTGTTGTATTGTCGTCATTTTAGTATAGTTTTATTTTTTTAATTTTAGTTTGAATTATTTCAGTACTTCAAGTTAAACTGAATTGAATTAATGAATGTAACTGAACTGAAATAAAAAAAAAATTTAATTATTTTATTTATATATATTTTAATGGCTTTAATTTTAGTTTTAGTTACCTCTAATAACCCTGAGTTTCACATTGCATTTTTGAATATAATACCTGACGATATATGTTTTGCTAAATATTGCACATTTTGGCAAAAGTAGCATTCCATAAAATTGTAAAAATTTGTGTACTGCCCAAAGTAAACATAAAAAGATTTATGAGTATATTTCTAATTTGCGCTGCTGTTAACAAATGGAGTCTTTTTGATACAAATTTTTTTGTTTAACCCTCTAGGAAATGGCTATTGTCGCTCAGAGGCTGCTGTTGCAGTACTCTTGACAAAGAAGTCAATGGCCAAGAGAATCTACTCCACAGTTCTCAATGCTGGCAATAACACAGACGGCTACAAAGAGCAAGGTAAACTCATCCTTCCTTCCCACAGACATCAAATCTGCCTCAAATCCTCTAGCATGAGTGAAATCGGCTCAGTTAATACCTTCTTACTTGCTCTGGAAGCCTGGCATTACTATAAAAGCTGGCACTACATGTGTCGTAGATGTCGTAGCCTTTCCCCCAGTGCCTCCTGCCACACTTTACACAACAGTGTTTTCAAACATGACACTTGGCTGAGCGTGAGGGCTCAGGGTATTTGAAATCTCTGGCATACGTCTGACATCAGACCCCTCTAGTTCCTGTTGTGCATCATGTGCTGCTACATTGAGGACAGAAGAATCCATGCTGTAGCTCACGTGTGCATTCCATTCATATTTTGGAATGTGGTATGTCTCCTCTTTCCAAAGGGGTGACATTCCCATCAGGTGAGATGCAGCAGCGCCTGGTCCGTTCCCTTTACCAGGATGCCAACATAACACCTGAGCAGGTGGAGTACATCGAGGCCCACGGCACTGGTACTAAGGTCAGTCACTATGAAATTACACGCATGCATACCTTAAGAAGAGATTTGCTTTGAAAATAAGAATGGGAACAGTTCGATATGTGCCTGATTCACAGTGACCATGTTTACATGCACACCATTTTCCAATTAAGGTCTATATTCCAATAAATAAGTAAAAAAAAAAAAAAAAAGCAAGTAAATAGATAAAAATATTAATTAATTAAAAAAATACAACTCAACAATAATACAAAAAAATAATAATAATGAAAAGCAGGTGTTGTTAAATACTGTTAGTCCTAAACTTACATTTTTTAAAAAATTTTTAATATGTATATGTATGTATAGCAGGAAATGGTGGTAAAAAAAAAAGTACATACAATTTCATGTTTGTTAATATAAAAAATTAAAGATAACTTTAAATATGTATAATATCCTTGTGTATGTAAATACAGTTATTGAGCAATAGAAATTTTAGCTTGTGGTTATGTGTATATTGAAAATAACTGCTTTTACAGGTTGGGGATCCTCAGGAAGTGAATGGCATTGTGAGTGTATTCTGTCAGTCACAGAGGGATCCTCTTCTGATTGGCTCAACCAAATCTAACATGGGACACCCAGAGCCTGCATCTGGATTGGCGGCTCTTGCCAAGGTATGTAAACTCTTTTTGAACAAGTCTTCCTGCTTTAGTTAGCTTTAGCTTAATCAGCTGTTTCTTTAAAAATCTGGATGCTGAATCCCTCATCTTAAATGTGAAGTAAATCAAGTAACTCGTGTTGCATGTGATCAGGTGGTTTTGTCTCTGGAACATGGCGTCTGGGCTCCCAACATCCATTTCCATGATCCAAACATGGTTCAAAATCACTGGCTCAGGCTTCAGGCTGCACAGTCCCCAGACTTCTGCAGGCCTCCGGTCGCACTGAGGAGGCAGTCATTTCCCTTCTCACTTCTCAAC